GTCTTTTTACGCGTTGCGTTGCATCGCGCCGCGTAAACATAAAACCATGTCTGCATTTGTGATCGGAGAAATGCCAAACAATAAGTGCTACTCTACACTGCTCAAACTCGCGTTTGAATCATCAGTGGCAAATTCTTTAAATATAAAAAAATGTACTTACAGGCTGTGAGTCAGAAGCGCCAGACTGTCCTTGCAAAGTTGGAATTGCCCCACTTTATAGAAACAGCATTTGTGAACAGACATATTGTAGTCTACTCTACCAGGTTCAGGAAACAGTCCTCCATTAAATGCGCTGCACACATCTGAATATTGTGCTTTCATAACGAAACAAACAGCGTCTTCATGACATGGCGGCGGCGGCAACAACAAAACTACAGCGAGAATAAAAGTTACGCCTTCTTTTTTTGCGTGAACATTTGGGCGGTGTTATGCAAATCTTCCCACACAGTGACGTAGATATGTGGGGACGAGTCTTAACTTTGATAAAGAATATCTCTTTGGATTTGAGACTTTAGTCTTTGCAACTTTAGGGATCTTATCTATTCACGAACAGCTTGTAACACTCCAAAGAGAAACGAAAACTTGAAATCGCATCATATGACCCCTTTAAGATGCGTCATAATAACTCTTCCCTGTGATTTTCAATAGTCTCAAATGCTTGCACAGAATTTGAATGTTATTTACTGTATACCTTGGTAGATATCCTGCAGTGATCCTCCCCCACAGTATTCCATGCAGATCCACAATTTAGTATTCCTGAAAAGTTGAACAGTTCAGTGCCTGGACTTTTGAGTCAATGCACACAAAAGATTTTCAAAAGATACATACGCACACACCCATAACTTACAAACATGACAAGAATCTCATAAACATTTTGAAAGCTTGTGAGTGGGAATGCATGCCTTTGAAATAATATTCGGGAATGCACAAGTCATCTAGAGCATGTGCTGGCACGCGTCGGCAGCTATTTACAAAACCTATTAAACATGTCTGTGTGATTTGTGCTCCATATCTGATTGTGTAACTCTGCTTGTATAAAACATGTTGTGGAATGCACCTTTCTATGCCCTGACAACTACTGGAGAAATACCAGGCAAGGCACAAACATTACCGTACCTGTGGTAAGTGCCATAATAGGCCACAATGTTCTTATGCTTACACTCCTTCATCATTGTTATCTCCTGCTGGATAGAGGTGATGTCATCACCTGAATAAAGCGTGAAAGAACAAGAAAAAGAGTATATACTGAAGACAGAATGGTCTATAATAACAAAATATTTAAAGTATTTTACTTCAGAAAGCAGTGATTGACAAATCTGAAACAACTATTCCAGAGAGCCATGTAAAAAATAACTTCAATTCATGTGACACAATGCAGTCCAATCATTTTTAAAGTAGTAGTGCAGTGAGGCTTCTGAGAACTATAATTATGTGTAAATATAGAGCTCATTACAATATAAATCCTTCATACAAGGAATCGATCCAATAAAACCTCTATAATTTTGAGAGATTAGTTAGAAACGGTATTTGCCTCTAAATGTTTACTGTATGTTCTCTACAGCACTGAAGCATGAAAATCTCCCAATATGCAAATGTGTTCTGGTCAAAAACGTATAACATTAAAACTACTCACACACCTGGATCCAGTTTAACAATTTTGATAGCAGCCATTTCTGAGCTCCTAATGTTTCTAGCCTGAAAGAAAATAGATAACATTACATGATGAACTGGAAAATCAGATTTCTTTTACAATATTAATTATAAAATGGATAATTAGGTTTAGCTACATTTCAACAGCTGATATGCGTCTGTGACTGTGCACAAATTTTATATTAATAAGTCTATACCATTCAAATGTTTGGAGTTGGTCAGATTTTTTGAAAGAAGTCTCTTATGCTCACTAAGGCTGCGATTATTTGATCAAAAATATAGTAAAAACTGTAATATTGTGAATTATCATTACAAATATATTAGTACTGTAATATAATTTAAAATGGAATTTATTCATGTAATGGCAAAGCTGGATGTTCAGACAGTCTTCAGTGTCACAGATCATTTAGAAATCATTCTAATATACTGATTTGTTGTTCAGGAAACATTTCTTATTATTATCAATGTAATAAACAATTGCTATGCTTAATGTTGTTGTAGAAACCATGACACATTTCATTTATTGCATCCTAAATAAAAATAAAAATCCTAAATAAAAGGCTGTAATTTCACTTACAGTTAAACTAACTAGCTATATTACCTGGAAAAACGAATTGTTTAATTGTGATTTATTATTATTATTATTATTATTATTATTATTAATACAAATACATGTCTTAATGGAATTAATAGAACATTGTCACTTATCATATGGCTATATATAGCGATGAGAGACAATGTGCTACAGTGATTTTACTATGGTTTTTAGATGGTTTTAGGTTTAAAAACACATTTCATTTTCATTTGTTTTGGTTTTCAAATAAACATTTGACAGCATACGTAAATGAGCAAATGTAACATAGAGGTGGGTAAATGTGACTTTAAGGCCATGTTTACATTGGTGAAATGCTCGGGATGCTGTAGAAAAGCCAGGAACAGATCCAGCTCTCCTGGCAGGCATCTTAATGACAAATATCCTAGTGTCAGTGGCAGCCTGCTGTGTCCTTCTCTGTAACCTTGTCCTGTAGCTGCTGCCAGGCCAGGAGACCGTATGATGCTGCACCATTAGTTAATCACTCATTCTATTTAGGAAGGATTCTATCAATTTACTATAAAACCACTAATACCTCTTGCCCAGCTGATATGCATCTGTGACTGTGCACAAATTTTATATTAATAAGTCTATACCATTCACGTCTCTTATGCTCACTAAAGCTGCAATTATTTGAGCAAAATATAGTAAAAACGGTAATATTGTAAATTATTATTACAACTATATTAGTCCTGTAATATATTTTAAAATGTAATTTATTCATGTAATGGCAAAGCTGAATGTTCAGCCAGTCTTCAGTGTCACAAGATTCTTCAGAAATCATTCTAATATACTGATTCTATTAATTTACTATAAAACCACTTATACCACATGCTAAGGATTCATCAAACTCGTTTAACTGTGGAATTAAAGGAATAGTTTACCCCCAAAAAAATGGCTGGGAATGTACTTTAGGTGATCCAATATGTGGATGAGTCTGGGAACCTATTTGAAGAAATTTAGCATTATCACTTGCTCACCAGTGGATCCTCTGCAGTGAATGGGTGCCGTCAGACTGAGAGTCCTAACAGCTGATAAAAACATCACAATAATCCACAAGCAATCCACATGACTCCAGTCCATCAATTACCATCTTGGTAAGCTAAAAGTTGCAGGTTTGTGATGAACAAATACATAATTAAGACCATGTTTAACTTTAAACTGTTGTTTTTGGCTAAAAAAATGAGTCCTCTTTCACTGGGGAAAGCAATATTATGACAAATATGTCAACGGATTTTGATGCGAGGATAACAGGAGATGGACTTTTCCCACTTTTTACCAAGCATTATTAAGGACTAGAATTTTGATCAGAAACAATGGTTCAAGGTTAAAATGCTTTAATGATGGATTTGTTTCTTACAAACATGCAGTCTTTCACTTCACAAGACATTAATTGATGGACTAGACTAGTGTGGATTGCTCATTGATTATTGTGATGCTTTTATCAGCTGTTTGGACTCTCATTCTGATGTCCCCCATTCACTGCAGATGATCCATTGTTGAGCAAGTGATGCAATCATAAATTTCTCTAAATCTGCTCCAATGAAGAAACAAACTCATCTACATCTTGGATGGCCTGAGGGTGAGTAAATGTATTCAGAAAATTTTTATTTTAAGGGTAAACTCTTCCTTTAAATAGCCAACTCATGCACATTAAAATATGTTCTATGCATACAGAGTGGTTCATTTGATACTTATGATCAGGCCAAAAAGTTTTCGGGAAAGTGGACTTCCATTTTTGCTTTCAGCTAGTCATAAACATAACAAATTGAGCATTCTGGACAAAACCTGGAACTTCACTGAGCTACCTTCCTGTTGTTTTTCCTGGCATGCCAGAGAGCTTCCTGTCATGACTAAAGCGACAGTGTAACGTTCTCGTAATGGTTTAACTGTGCAACCTGAAATAACGCAGCCACAACCCAAGAACAATGGCTTGTGTTGGATATCTGTCCACACTTTGACCAGAAATCTCCAAAGCTTGTTATTCTTTATGTTGGCATAGTCAGACCTGACAAGTCTATCAAATGCAAAACAGACTGTTTTGTTCGAATGCAGCTGGGAATCCTCACCATGGAATATTTTTAGATCTCGAGAACTTTCTGAGTTCAAGTTGAGAGAGCTAGAGGACACTAGAAAGGATTCTTTGTGCATTCTAAGATGGGCATTGTAAGGGTTGTTGGCTCACCCACTGAATTATCATAAAGTGGACTGTGTTGGGGATTGCTACACAAGAATGACATGATCTCCACATTAAACATATATAAAAGAGACAAAATACACATGAAAACCAACAACATATTTGCACCTTACAAACTTCTTGAAGAATAACACTACCACACCTGAGGGAGGCCTACATTTTAAAGTCCAGATTTGTAACATTCCACAAATATTGCCGTTGTGCCAGTAGATTGCTCTTCAATCAAGTCAAATTTCTAAGCCAACCATATGCTATTCCACATTAGAATCACAAACTACTTTATATCTGATACATTTTTAAACTATGCTTTTCTGTTTATGCAGGGTTTTGCACCTAAACTTTGAAGACAGACTGGCTGACGTTACATGTTTTGTTGAGAAAATACCTAGATGGCCTAACAAAGACATTTAGACACAATAAAAATAAATAGTACGTGGATGTCAGCCTGAGTGCATCATTTTGTGTTCACTGTGTTGGATGGAATGTGTGTCAATGCACACATGCTGTGAATTCTAGAAAACTAACCAATCCAGTCTGTCAGCTAACATCATGGATCTGGTTTCTTGAAATATTCAGCTTAAACAAGGAAATCAACAACAACAACGGAGTAAAAAAATCTTGTCAAGTTTAGCAAGTCTTCCCTTACAAGGTATCAGATGGTACTTTGACATTTAACATGGTGTTGAATGATAATCATATCATGGTACTCATATTCATGGTACTGGTACTCCAGATAATATAACTGCACTATGCTGTCTAAATACTTACCATGGTATCATATCCAAAAACAAAGTAATGCAGTCCTTGTACAGTAATACAATACAAACAATCATACAACCCCTTTTGGTAGATTTTTGTAAGTCTTCCAGAAGGAAAAAGTGTTTTTCTCACGAAATCTTGACAAAGCAACATGCATTAAATCAGTCATTGCTTAAACACTCACCGTTGAGTACAAAAATAAATAAATAACCAAAAAAAAAAAAAAAACAGAAGTTCTTTCTCACCTTAAAGACATCTCCATAAGTGCCGCTCCCGACCCTTTGAATAATCTCATAATCATCCAAGGGATCCAAAAATGAAACTCCTATGGTATTCATGCCTGCAGCTCTTTGTACGTTTCACTTAGGCTGATCATGACAGCTGTCACACAGTTTGATGTGCAGTAAACTCATCTCATCCCGGTGCGCTGTTATCAAAAATGGCGAAAAGAGATTTAATAATAAATAAAATGTATAGATTTATCTATAACGCAATGCAAAGCAAAAACAAATCTTCACATCCACTTTACCATGGAAATCACTGTCTTATCATCTCTCTGCTTGTCCCTTCTCACACTACCGCACCCGTAGACTCACAGCAGCAACGTCCGATTCGTTAACGAATTGTCCTTTGGAATCGGACCTTTTCAATGAATCGGTTCGCAAAACTGGTTCGAACGATTCGTTATCCGAGCGGTTCTCGAGCAATTCGCTGACTGGTTGGAAACGAGAATGTCTCTTTTGAACACGTCCTATTCACAACATATACGATTTGGTTTCAATAAATAGAAGTTTATATAAATGTGCAAAAGACTTAAAAAGAAGACTTTTAGCATTATTTAATGCAAATGGAAAATGGACTAAGGTTCTACCTTTATGTTTAAGGTGAAGCTGGGCACGTCGAATTGCAACGCCATTTTAGCGAAAAGAAATAAAAACGGCACAAATAAACCTCAATAAAAGCCTGCATAGGCTGCCTTAGGAACTTTAGACTCTAGAGCAGAGGAATATCAGGAAACTCAAGTGACGTAAAAGAATCACTTTTATAAGAACCACCTGCTTTTCGAACGTGCTCTTTGAAATGAACCATTCTAAAGAACCGATTCGCAGACACGAGCGATCTTTACCATCACCAGACGCGATGCTGCGTTTGCGCATGTGCATAGCATCAGTGGGCGACCACATTGCAACTATTTACATACGATAATCCTTCAACATGGGTGACAGTAAATAAAGGGAAGCAAAAAACCCTCACTTGTTTTGTTCAAGTTGTTTATTTAGTGGAAAATACACTTTCACATCAAGAAAATAGGTTTTTAACTGAAGCACTGCTTCTTTCAGAAGAAAGAATACTTTGCTATGACACTTGAGACCACATATGAAATCCAGCAGTTATGTGGACAATAACAAAACGAGTGCAAGGCCTACATACATAGGCTGAAAATAAAAACGTTTTTTCAACACATCATTGTATTGCAGACAAAATGTTAGCTGAAAAAAGAATTGCATCTTTTCTAAAATCCTGATCAAACAAATGATAATCACTTTGGCTTGTCGTAATTTGGATCTAATAGAACTTGTTGTAATAATACAAAATTAAGGCAAATCAATAAAATTACTTCATGCTATAAAATAATAAAGCAAATTTGCTGGTGTAAGAAAGTTTTCTTCAGTGGGATATATTTAAATTCAACATTAGCTTATCAAAACATTTGATAACACTCAATTTGCAGGTAAAACGAATGAACTTCACTCCAGGTGAAAATATAAAAGTTTGAAAAAAAAAAAAAAATTATAAATGGGTCATTTTAAAGAGTTTTGCGCGGGCGTTTCATGAAAGACAAGGTGTAATCTCCAGAGGGTGTGGGTTTCTGTCTCTTCATCTGCACTTGGGACTGGGCTGTGAGCTGCAGTTTAATGGCACTAGAGTTGACCTTGGCCGCAGAGAGGAGCTCTTTCATACCCTTCATCTTCTCACTGTGGAAAACCACCACCGGCCCTCCCTGCACTACGGGTGGCTGGGTAGGAGAAGGTGTGGGACTTGGGGATGAGGGCTCATTTTTGCCATCGGCCTCTTTACCTCGAGTGCTAGCAGAAGAACGTCTGCGTCCTCCTTCCCCTCCCACCTTTTTAGGCACTGGATTTTGAGGGGGCAACGGTGCACTTGGAGATGACGGTCCTGCTTGTTCATCTAACTTGGATTCTCGCCTCGTGCCCCGTCTACGCCCCTCACACTGGTCTTCACTGGATTGGTCATCGTCATCCACTGGTTCTGCATCTTTGGTGATGATTGACACTTTTTGTCTGATCTGAAAAAGAGCAAGTACATAAAGTGTGGTCATAAATGTCATTTTAATGAAACTTAAAATTAAGAAAACTGAGGGGTTTTACCTGTGCATCAAAGCGACTAAGGGACTGAACCAGGTAGGTGGCCCAGCCTACATGAAGCACTGGCGTTGGACTTCCTTCTTCCCATTTACAAATACCATCATAGAACCGAAGTAAGTGAGCAAAGCACTCTGGGTCCTGAAGGGCAGATAAAGCAGCTACCTGTCTGGGCTGGTCGTTTGAGGTAAAAGTATGAATAGAGGACAAGAGAAAGACTTGTTCACAACTTTGTTCTAAATAATAAAATACATATATTTGTAAATGTTTATTTTTATGTATAATTAAACAAGACCTCCTTTTCCGTTTCATCAGCCCCTTCGCCACCACTTTCAGCAGCAGCTGCTGTCTCTTTAAGGAGGGTGGGAATGACATCATTAGCGATGTCAAAAAACTCCTTATATATCTCCTCATCCTCCCTGTAGTAGTTGTAACTATAGACCAAGAAAAAGTTTTGGAATTAAACAGTACATTTTGTTTTCGACTTGACTAAAGCAATATTAAAATCCATGAAAAAATAACAATTTATATATATATATATATATATATACAGTGTGTACGGAGAGTATTCAGACCCCCTTCACTTTTTCACTCTTTTTTATATTGCAGCCATTTGCTAAAATCATTTAAGTTATTTTTTTTCCTCATTAATGTACACACAGCACCCATTGAGATGCACCTGTATATATATATATATATATACACTTTATATGTATTTATATTGTATATATAAATACATATAAAAGCACATATACTGTATATAACAATGCTTACTGATGATTACATTGATTATAATACAGCAAGTCTGTCATAGTTCAAAGCAGCACAAATAAAATGAAAACACGTCAGAAGGACAGGGGGTAGGAGATAGCTAATGTTGTCATGAAGGAAGCGGAAACAGGAAGAGCAGGAAAAGGAAGTGGATGGGAGTGAGCGGTGGTTCTAGGCGTGCTTTGTGCAGACATCCTTCAGGACATTAGAATATAGTATTTTTAGCATTCTGTCCACTGCACTGTGTTTAGAGGGAGGAAAGTACAGATTGTCTCTCCCGACAGGGACCAATGCCAAGGCTAAGACAGGAATGAGCTTTCTAAAGACAAACAGCATGAGGCAAAACAGACAATGCTGGCAAAAGCCACATTTTCCATTCTGTATGAACATTCAAGAGGCTTGAGAAGTTATCATATTGCCATCTAATCATGATGTGCAGCAGTAGATACATTTAAAGTTTAGAGATTGAGTCAGCCTTTTTACATAAATCTCTCTCTTTACTTAGATTTAAGGAGTTTTGAGATTTAAGGATCTTGCCAATAAGATTTATGTAAAAGTCATAAATAAACACTGCCCCCTGCTGTTGAAGTAAAATTACAATTGAGAAAATGTATTTGTGTCTTAAGTCGCTGGGGTATATTTGTAGCAATAGCCAACAATACATTGAATGTGTCAAAATGATCGATTTTCTTTTATGCCAAAAATCATTAGGACATTAAGTAAAGATCATGTTCCATGAAGATATTTTGTAAATTTCCTACCGTAAATATATAAAAACTTCATTTTTGATTAGTAATATGCATTGCTAAGAACTTCATTTGGACAACTTTAAAGGTGATTTTCTCAATATTTTGATTTTTTTGCACCCTCAGATTCCAGATTTTCAAATAGTTGTATCTCGGCCAAATATTGTCCGATCCTAATAAACCATACATCAATGGAAAGCTTATTTGTTCAGCTTTCAGATGATTTATACATCTCAATTTTAAAAAATTGACCCTTATGACTGGTTTTGAGGTCCAAGGTCACATTTAGTTTTGTCCGATTATTATTTTATCAGAAACACCTAAAAAAACTGTATCGTTTAATGTTCAGATTTCTGTGGTGCTTGACTTACTCTTGCATTACTGAAGCAGCCTCTGCCCAGGCACCCAAAGCCTCTCGGACATTTCTGTGCCTATAATGATACCCTGCTAGATACATGAACGGGTATATGTGCTCGTTGTTGTAATATTTTTTAGCCGAGTCAACAGCCTGGAATTTAAAAAAAATACAGATTAGTGGTTTTTAATAATGATAACCTTGTAAATCTCTCTCTTATAGCTAAAATCATATACCTTTAAGTGAATGGAGAGAGGGCTTTCCTTGCCAGTCACTGGTTCCTGATCTTCAAGGTCGGCCAAAGTGCCCATTGCCATAGGATACCTTCACCACACCCAATACAAGAGAACAAACATTCAGAAAGAGTTCTATACAATAATCAGATCAAACGAGTCACATCCCGGCTCTGAATTGGTCTGATTTATTAGAAATGTGTCACACCTCTCCAGATCCCCTCGATCATATAGCAGCCATAACAGCTTCTGCAGGAAAAAATTAAAAATTATCTGAATGACAATAGATGCATAAATATGCATGTGTACATAATGTATATGACAGAATAATTACAGTTAACAGTACATAACACAGAGAAGAAACAGCCAATATAATGCAGGAAACAGAGGTTGATGTAGTGAAAGTTTAAAACAAATCAAATTTGAAGACATACTTGCTGGAGCTGGAGTAACTCTGTACTGTCTGTGTGCAGATCTAGAGATGGATTGATGGCGCAAACCATGAATGCTACCTCCATATTCCTGTTGCACTTCATGTAGGAGCCTTTAAGATATAACCAGCTCTAAGAAAAATAAATGAGTAACAGATTTATAACATTTAAACTTTTTAACATTTACACTATTATTTAACAATTTGGTGTCATTAAGATTTATTAATGTTTTTCTTATGCTCACCAAGGCTGCATTTATTTGAGAAAATAAATACAGTAAAACAGTAATGTGTGAAATATTATTTCAATTTAAAGTAATTGTTTTACATTTTAATATATTTAAAAATGTAATTTATTCCTGGGATGGAGAGGCTGAATTTTCAGTGTTGCATGATCCTTCAGAAATCATTTTAAATTGGTGCTCAAGTAACATTTCTTATTATTATCAGTGTTGAAAATAGCTGTGCTGCTTAATAGTTTTCTGGAATCTGTGATTTTTTTTATTTAGGATTTTTTGATGAATAGAAAGTACATAACAGCATTTTTTTAAATAAAAAAATCTAAATACAAACATTGAAATAAATGTCACTTTACTGTCACTTTTAAACAATTGAATGCATCCTTGCTGAAAAATTGTATTAATTTTATTTTTAAAAAATAATTCTCGCCCCAAACTATTGTATGGTAGTGTATGCATGGTGTTTATGAATATACAGTAGCTTATATCATCATGGTTTGTTTGTTTGTTCAACGCTATTCCAGCTTCTGTGGCTATTTTCATAGCAAGAAATATTATGGCTGAATTATATCATGTTTTTATCATTTATTTTTGCTTAAAACTCAAACTGCATTTGGCTTAATGCTGTTCAAAATCTCTTCTAAAGAGTTAACTGAATAAAAAAAATCTCAATGAGTTAAAACCAGCACAATCTAATAAAACATGCTTAATGGATAAAGGGATTCGGCAGAGAGAACATGTTGGAGGATCTTCCCCTAGTATTAAAAACTTGTGTGTCATCCTGGAATGACCAATTCGACAGTGGGTATAAACAATCTGGTCCCAATGGTTAGAAAATTCTTTTTCCAACATTGGGACTAATTTCATGGAGTTTATTCATTGTATATAGATCCCACTCTGTTTTATAATATCATGGTAAACATGAATGATAGAACATTACATACCCTTTCAGTGATTCCAGCACTGACAGTCTGACCTCTTCTGTCTTCGTTGCCCTTCCCATGCCATGTGACCTCTGCAGTCTCTTCCCCACCCTTGCCAAATATCACCCAGGCGTGGTCCTCCGAGAGAGCCAGATGAACATCCTTCAGGCCCAACACCTGACACGCAGATACCACTGCAAAAGCTACTCCTGAGCTGTCCAGCTTTGTGCCTTATGGAAAGAGAGACAAGACAAAAATGCAGTTTGAGTCTGCATGACCAAATTGCTACCATTTCATTAAATATACAATATAACAGAGCCTGTAAGACTTTTGAAGTTCTACCTGTGATAAGACTGAAGAGGGACTGAATATGTGCCCTGTCCTTGAAATACGACCGGCTAAGACTGTTCCAGATCACATCTGAGACCTTTTTCACCAGCTCACGGCTGGAACCACCGGCCGGTTTGCGGTATTGTGACAGGTCCACAGCACCAAGAATCTGGGCGGTGAAGCGTTCGTAGAGGGCAGATATGAGATTCAGCTCTACTGTAGGGAAGCAAGAGTCAAGGCAGTCAGGTTTAAGAGGTTCAAAACGAACACCCGGGACACTGACAGGAACAACTCTGTTGACAGCCAGGAAGTGCTCTACAAAACCCAGCACAAGGGACAGCAGAGCCAGGTCCGGTTCTGGGTTGCTAAGCTCAGCCTCGAAAAGCTGCACCACTCCATCGATGCCCCGAAGAGGGAAATGTTTCTTCTGAGCCGACCGAATCCCCATGGTTAGTGGTTGAGTTCAATCCCAGTCTGATTAAATCTTAAAAATATAAATAAATGATTAACTACAATAATATGCAATACGGTGTAATCTTAATAAATGAATAAGGGGCTGCAAAACGAATTGCATTAAAAATAAAAAAGTTTATATTTACATACTATACATGTGTGTACTGTGCATATTTATTATGTAATCATATATAAATACACACATACATGCACATATTAAGGGAAAATATGTTATATTTATATATAAAATATTTATGTTTATATATAATATAAATTATATACAAGTATAAATATGTATAAACATACAAGTATTTTTTAAGTATTATACATATATATTTATATATACATAATAAATATACACAGTACACACACATATAGTCTGTAAACAAACTTTTATTCTGAATACAGTTTTTATTGAAAGTGACATCCAAGTAACAGCTTTAATCAACCTATTTCAGCCCAGTTTACTCCCTCATTGTGTTCTGTAGATACAAAGAACGTATTTCTTATCTAATATGAGTGTCTGATAGTGTGAGCAGTAGTTCAGGCTAATCTTTGCTTACCAGACTAAATCTACAAGGGAAAAAATGGTTAAGTTTTGGTATTATACTTAAGTACTTTAATGGTGCTGCATAATAACAATTTGTTTTATTTAATTATCTCTTTTTAATTATGCCAAGTAGTGACCATAACTTAGGGGAATTCCCAGAGACACGTGTAAGACAATATCTGATGTCCCAAATATGAAATGTAACGTTAAATTTGCCATGTAAAAGTTTCAATGCAAAATACAGCTTTTGGGCTGGCTGAACATGACATTAGACTGGTTTAATATGATAACTTACTATAGTATTTGTTTACTTTATTCATACCGAAGGCAGAAATTTAACCCAGCTGTCTTGCTTTATAACAAAAATAATGATATTACCAAAATGTAGCCAGTGCGTGAAATTTGAGCATGGATAACAACGCAACTGCAACCCATGTGCGTATGGGCGGACATCTGCGTGATGATGCTGCAGCTAACGTTAGTTAGCTAAGACTATTATCCGTTTCTGGTGTTTTCCAGCTGAAAGGGCGTTTTGCAGAGAACCAGTTGTTCTCTCCTTACTTTCCAGGCAATAAAGCGCCGCTCGGGTTCATTCTCACCTCATACCTTTGTTGAAATTACATCCACATGCTTTTGTTTTACCGCGCAGTAGACAGACAGACGTTTCTACAAACACCTGAGACGTATGCAATCTGTTCGCATGTCAAAACGTTGCATCGCCTGGATTATGCTTAGTGCTTTTGTGAACAGATCAGAGACACAAAATGTGCTTCCTGTTGTCTAGAAGATTTTTGGGAAATGTAGTCTCCTAGTGTATCTTTGCGGTTTATTGACGGGTGGCGAACTAGATTTTGGTGCATTATCGCCACCAATTGGACTGGAGTGTAAAGCGTCGACAGACAGATTACTTAAATTAAAAAGTATTACGATTGCTATTAATTCTGTTTTTATTAACGATTTTTTTTGTTCATCGTTTTCTGAGGGAAATGCGGTCAAATTTAGCCCTTTCTTCAACATCATAACAAGCAAATGAGGATGTCTGTTGTTAACCAAAAGAGCGCGTTGTTGAACAAGAAATGAAACGCTGACCCACTGTTTATCATCGTGGTAGAAAAAAAACTGCAGAGCACAAATGCGAAAACATTACATAATCACGCCCCATAGAGTTACATAGCGTTTAGTGTATCTTTTCTAAGTAGGCGAGGATAGATTAGACCGCGTGGTTCCCAACCCTGGTCCTTGAGGCACCCCAACACTGCACGTTTTGCATGTCTCCTTAATCAAACACACCTGATTCAGGTCATCAGCTCATTAGTAGGGCCTCCAAGACCTGAAATTGGTGTGTCAGAGAAAGGAGACATGCAAAATGTGCAGTGTTGGGGTGCCTCCAGGACCAGGGTTGGGAACCACTGGATTAGACATCAACCGTCCGTAGCTTTCAGGGTTAATAACAACTGTATGGACAATTCAGAGTGATATTATAGTAAGATTATTTTAACGACTGAAAATATGTAACAAACACTTACAGGTAATAGTGTGTAGATCATAATTTTAATACAGAAAGCATTTGTTTGCAACGCGTGATGCTGTCTGTATGAGAAAAGTCAGAGGTCTATATCTCTAATATTTATGGGACACGTGAAGGAAAAGGATTTTTTGTGGCACAATATCGAATCAAAATAGTTTTATGGCGTACCCCTTTAAACAAAGAAAATCGACCTCTCACCCCAATATCCTCTCTCTCTCTCTCTCTCTCTCTCTCTCTCTCTCTCTCAATTCAATTTCAATTTAAGAGTGCTTTATTGGCATGACAAAAATTATACATTTGTATTGCCAAAGCAATTGCAGCTGGACTGCTTACAAATAGTACACATATGTATTAACAGAAAGAAAAATAATAATAATAATAATATATAAATCTCTCTCTCTCTCTCTCTCTCTCTCTCTCTCTCGTGTACCCGCCCTATTTGTCTTCCACCGCCCCCATCCACTGCAACATTCAGGCAGGTTCACCTAATGTGCTTGTGCAGGCTCGGTGACGCCGCTGCTGTATTTGGAAATACTCGGTGAATCGGAAACGTTCAGCGTATCAATCAGCAGCCAAACATCAAGCGACACTTCTAAATCACAGATCCTGTAGAACAACACGACAAACATGGCAGATCCAATGACCCAGTCGTCTCAAATTTCGTCGTCACAAGGCCTAAACGATGGGCATTCTGCATCGTCCAAAGACTCCAAGTTTTCCGGTAAGAGAACGTGAACTAAATCCAAAAGGTTCGTTGAATTGTGTTCTATTTGTTTTGAAGTTTAGACTGCGAATTTACTGATGTTCCAAATGGAAGTGCATTTGGCAGGTCGCACTGAATAGTGCTTTTAAGGACAATACCAGATTATATAGTGTAAACCAGATCGATTTGAATGAATGCACAAGTTTGAAATGCCTTTAAGCCAGTACTGTGACTCTCTGGCGTTATGTAATAGCCTTGCACTGTTTATTTCTCACGTACACTTTCCATATCGCCTCCTTTTGGGCATAGTAGGAGGGTTTTTGGCGTTACACTTTACAGGCAGAAATGGCATGGCGGATGTTGGACTCGGAATGAATGTGTTCTCATCCACAGCTTTGACCTGACGTTTATTTTTAGGAAAAGGCCACGGAGAAATATGGGGACACCTAATACCCCTTTGAACCCATGCTGAAATGGGCACATGTTGCGGCTCAGCTGATGATCTGCACTGCAGATGCATCCGAAACTGAAAGACGGTGTAAAGAAGGAAGAACCTACATACACACCCCATCTACAGTGCTAGCGAAGTGACAAGCTAGAATAATCAATGTAGGCTAGCTGTCTAACCGATTATGAATCGTTCTTTTGAGTCGAATCTGGTCAAATAATGTTGAATATGTAAAGAACTGGATCGGTGCGAGCTGTTTTCAATTTGAACCAAGAACCCTTACGAACCATTTATATTAGATTTTAATTAATTGTATTATTAGTGCATCATAATAGTTGTGCTCTAAAATAGTTTGTTTTTATGAGCTGAATCATGGCTGCAGCATACTGAACTGGGACATAGGAAATTAAAATAAACTGGTTTATTAATAAATAAATAAAAAAGACTGAGTATTGCTGGGACGTTTAAATATGCCCAGTCAGGTTGACGTAATTATGTCACGGCGTAAAATAATTCTCTGGGTTCTTTCAAATGGACCGTATGAAAGAATCGATTCGATTGATTTGTTAATAAATTGTTCTCGCTGTATATATACACACACACACATTATGTATATATGTAAGAAATGGTAAACAAACCCTTGGCCTAATAAATGCAGTTAAGTTGGCCCATATTTACACGTTTTCAGTCGTTCTGTTGAAATGACGAGCTGCCATTTGCTCGGTTCCTGTATATTTTTCCGTTGTGAAAACAATGCAGCATGGTTTTTGTTGACTAGGGATGTTGGTTCAGTGCTTTTTAGGTCGTCAGCAATATATGGAGCGCTTCTGGCCTCCTTGGTTTGGCTTCATTAAGGCGTCTGGGATTCTAATAGAATTAGAGCTTGAAGTTAAGACTCCTGATGTCACTGATGTTTTCAGCACACTTTCAAATCGTTTGATGACTTCAAATGCTTTATTGGTTCTTGAGCTTAGGTACATTGATTTCAGTTAGGTGTCAGAATCCAAATATTGCTGGAAGGATGTATACATGACTGGCCTACAGGCTTACTATCACAGACACCATATGTGAAGGTGACATATTGGACTGGATGGTTAAATTTAGCTGCAATGGCCCTCAAAGACACAATCTGAGATGCCTGTCTGGGTGCCATTGTCACGTTACACATAGTAAAAGCCTGTATGTAAATATAAGGTATTAAATGATGCCATACCTAGCCAAATGGTGTTTTAATACAATATTCTTTGTTAAATTCAGGTTAAGCTCCATCAGTAGAATTTGTAGCTGTGAACTGACAGTTATGATCTTTAATTTGGAAATCTATGGAGGAAGCATGCAGTGGTCGCTTCATAGGCGTCATTTGCAAGTGCATTTGTTTGCAAGTCATTGTTTCTTGTGGAAAATATGACTATGAGAAGTTGATTCATAACTTGCCTATTATTTTTATTTTTTAAAAATAGATTTTAGGTACAAATTTAAATACATACAAGTGAGATTGTATATTTCATGTGTTATGGTTAGTCACTTTTTTTACTTGTTAATTTTTTTTTTTTGGTTCATTTTGAATGAGATCAAGTAGTCTTTCAGGTGTATTTAAATGAATGCAACTTATTATAAATTATTATAATTAAAGCTACATGCATATCAACTATATATAGAGAGAGAGTTATGCATGCAGCTTTAATACTTTTTTTTTTTTATATATGCTTTTGCATTTTGCTAACAAAGTATTTTGTCAGCCACCCTTAGATGTTTTTGGTAGACCTTAACTTGTGTTCAACCCAGAACAATCTGTTAAAAATGTCATGCTATATGAGACCAAGAGATCATATTCAAATCGATTTCATCTTCGCTATATCAATACTGTCTTTTGCTTTGTCAGAACACAGTCTCTCTCGGCCTCCCTCTTCTGTCTGGGCACGATCCCTAAGGTCAATGCAGCTGGCTGAGGCAGCACTCTTAAAGATTTAGGTGTCATCATTAAGTCCCCTCAGGAATAGAGCTGATATTGCTGGCATGACAGAGATGCCACACAGGCTCTTCCGGAGTCAGAGGCCAATCCAGTCCCACTTTAAGCATTGCCCTGTAACACAAGCCATCTTGGTGCACTGCATTTAACCCCTTGCAATAGATGGTATCTGTCTATCAGATCCTTGGATGTTGGATTACTATACCTTATTTCCTTATTAAATGTTTGCCGGCTAAACATGACCAACCGACCATGGTAGGATATCAGATTGTGATGCCATAATTGCACCACGTGGTTGCTGCTGTCACAAAAAGTGAAGCAGATTCTATTTGGCTGACTCATAAGTGAGGAAAAACTTCAATCAAGATGACAGAGAGGGTGTGTGGATTTGTCAGGATTTTGGTGTCCACATCAATGGTGCAAGGTGTGTCGCTTATTAAAAAGCGTTTGGGTGTGGTTTGGGCAAGGAATGCCGTGAAGCAGGGGTACACTCCTTATTTGTGACCAGTAGAGCTTGCCCTGTTTAAGACTGTTGCATTACTCGATCAACCTGTTCTCTTTAACTTTCTCACCACTCTCGCTCTTGGCACTCCCTGTTCTTGTTGAGATTCCAGAGTAGATTAATCCAATTCTGGTGACCTAGTGTTGCCTCTACAGCCTGATGCTTGACCCAACTGTTGTAAGTGGCTTCTGGATGAATGCAAATATTGTTTGCTTCCAAATCACATGAATTTTTGAAGTGTGGCTGAAAATGGCTTCCCTTAACAGGTTACATAACACAGTGGTGCAACATGTGGGTGCTTTGCAGGGTTAGATGTCAGAAAGTATGGGAGGGATCATTGAAAATTCCATGAGAAAGTTCCACCATTTGACTATTATGAGTAAGTATTGTACACTATGCGGCTGAATCATGTTCATCAAAAAGGAATGTTGTGTATATGATTAGTTCTGTTTGTACAGAAACAAAGTGCTTTAATAGGTAGTATATGTTATGTGTATAATACACATGAAAATAGGATCATGTTAATTTTTATTGATGTATAAGCAAAAGTGTATATTTTAGGTACTGTGACTGGTCACTTCTGTTTGTTTTTTTGTTTGTTTTTTTTTAATCAGCTTTATGGAAGTTTTTTTTTTCCTCACAAACTTAAAATGGTGAATCAAATGTTCAAACTGTCAAATATTAAATCAAATTCAAAAAATGTATGCTCAAACGATAAATCGTGTTACACTAGTGTTACAAATGAATTTTAGTACCGTACAGTATTCAGTAAAGTCTTTCAAGTAGTATAAGCTGCATGCATAAAAGACTGAGGTATGTTTTTTGGAATAGCTTTACAAAGATGAGAGCATCTCACACCATCAGTAGTGGTTGATTATCTCATCGATAAGTAGCTAACTTACTTGAATAGTAGATTAAAGGGAAAGATTACCAAAAAGTACAAGTCTGTAATTATTTACTCACCCTTATGTTATTCCAAATCTGTATCACACAAAAAAAAATCTTTTTTTTCTGTACTGTATATTAAAAGTCGACCAGATAAAATGTTGTTTGGACTTCAAACTTTTTTGTAGTCCACAGAAGAAAATCGCTCAGGTTTAGAACTATATGAGGCTGAGTAAATGATGCCTTTTTTTTTCTCTCTCTTTATTCCTTGTCAAGTAAAGCACTTAGTTATTTGCTGTCAGCTCTTTTTTTATTTCTTTTACTTTTCTAGATTCTTGAGATGTGAACGGTGCTTCGCTAGGCATTTCACTAACATTTTCCCCTTTCAAATGTAGAGTATAAGAAGGATACTGAGACTTCTCATTCTTCTGTCCTATTTTATTTTTTCAGATTCCTTTTTTTCTTCGCCTGTATCTCTCATTCAGTCTCCTCAAGGCAAGTGTATAGTTCTCTTATGATGCTCGCCTGCTGCTCTACCTTTTATCTTTCTCTTCATGCTCCTCTGTCATCTCTGTTCTATTAAGTATGCTTTATCCCACTGGGCTGCTGCTATGACGCTCTCCATCCCTCTCACCAGTGACCCTTTCCTCCTCTATACCAGACTAGATGTTCGCAGTAAGGGCTTCTTTTGGAGTTCTTCCTTTTAGGAGTAGGAAATTAAGCAGAGGACACAGAAAGAAGCTACCGATTGTTTTACTAAAGAATTAGATCCTTATCTCTCAAGCTAGAACCCAACCAGTTTCTGTGGAAAATCATCAAAATGTCCTCCCCTTCAATCTGTATGGTCTTGATAACTAAGCTCTTACCTAAACATTAACAATCAAGTTCATAATTAGTCTCACACGTGCATGCTACTTGACCGTGTACTGTCCAGTCCAACTACCCTCCCTGACCAGTTTTGTAACAAGACCCTTGCTGTTTCTAATGGTGACCCCCTTGCAATCATGCACGTTGGAATCCATAATAACAGCCAAGTCCCTCCTGTTTTCAACAGTTTCTGAAATCCTCAAACTTGGATTCACTTCATGAATGCTCTTCAACTGAGATCATCCAGATTTCTGTGGCTTGTCGTCTAATGCCTTATTTGATCTAACACGGTCTCTACTTGGCTCTGTAAATCCAACAATACCCTGTAATTAGTCGTGGCCTAATGGTTAGAGAGTCGGACTCGTAACCCAAAGGTTGCGGGTTCGAGTCTCGTACCGGCAGGGATTGTAGGTGGGGGGAGTGAATGTACAGCGCTCTCTTCCACCTTCAATACCATGACTGAGGTGCCCTTGAGCAAGGCACCGAACCCCCATCTGCTCCCCGGGCGCCGCAGCATAAATGGCTGCCCACTGCTCCGGGTGTGTGTTCACGGTGTGTGTGTTCACTGCTGTGTGTGTGCACTTAGGATGGGATAAATGCAGAGCACTAATTCCTAGTATGGGTAACCATACTTGGCCACATGTCACGTCACTTTCACTTTCTTCTTTTTTTTTTTCACTTTCACTTAATATATGGGTTCCCGGGCTAAAAAGTTGAACGTAGCCATTCCTGGCAATAATTTGTGGCTACTACTTCCTATTTACCATTAGTATCCCTTGTCATTTCATAGGCACCCCACATCTAACATGGTTCACAGATTAAAAATGGGAAAGCTAAGTCCCCACAGATGCTAGAAATTCAATCAGCTCCAGTATATACCCACTGAAAACATGATTTAGGTCAGCGTTACTGTGGGTCCAGCTTAATCCCAAGATTGCCACCTTATTTTAATATAGCAGAGAAGTTCAAGTTCACTTTGTGTGAGAGCAGAATCCTAAAAATGGATCAGGTTGGTGTCCCTGAGGATTCATGTCCTTGATGTCCCCCCTCCCCCACAACAAACCATGTTTGGAGCTACACCCCCAACATCGCACTGGTCCTGAAGGTAGAGCGCCACTGGGGAGGGATCTAGCAACAGGACGCTGCTTGTGGTTACATCCCCATGACTGCTGCGGCTGACTCTTCACCTGCTTTTTCCATGCATTTTGCATGTTGTCTTTTACCACAGAGTAAGAGGAAATCCTCAAATTTCAGTCTTTTTGTTTGTGTTTGTTTGTTCTTTTGTTTCGTGTCTATTTACTTTCAGGATTTTGATCATTGTAGAATTTATATATAGGAAGCGTTAGCATAAAGTGGATCTTGAGTAAATTCCTCACACTGTGTTGAAGTCTTCAGATATTTTGCATATTTTTTCATAAAGATATTTTTTTTCATAAAAATATACTATTTAAATGACTCATCATAAAAGCGTTGCTTAGTTTGCACAATGAGTACTTAACCATACCACAATCTTAAAGAGATGTAGGGATAAAAGTCTTCAAGTTGAAACATGTAAAGTACAATAAATTACATATTTGTGTACTTTAGGTATATATAAAATATATACCTATAAATTTAATCTATTTTCAGAAGGCTTTACTCTTACTGGGTAGACCCTATAATCACAGAATTGAGAAAATACTAGTTTCTGTCAGTTGCAGTACACATGTTTTTTTACTAGCAGAAATGTAGCATACAGCATGCAAATTCAAAGATTATACATCTTAAAGTAAAACCAGGAAGTGGCAGGTTTGTAAAGGGACAAAATAATTAGGTTGTTAGAATGTGGTAGTCATAGTGTGTTATGTTACAGAGGTACCTGTAGTCCCTCCAGAACTAGTTTTATCACCCTACAGGAGAGTCAGGAGAAAATATTAAATTTAAAATTATTGTTTAGCATATGTGATGGAAACATTGTATTTAGATGTGCCTTGTTGCCTGCCTACCTCCACATAGTGCCTGTGATGGCAGAATTGTTCATCTTTTGGACACAGCCATTGTGTTGCATGGTAAAGTGGTCAGAACTTCCTTTTTCAGTGTGTGTCCAGCATTCACTTTGCTGTATTCCCTGTGCTCTTATAATTCTGGCCTCATTGTGTCATCTACACCATAATTTGATTTCTTTATCATCTCTCTTTTTTGAGATGGTTTGATAGTTGAGGCATAGTTTAGACAGCCCTTTAGTAGAATCCACAATAACAGTGCTTTAATTGTTTAACAAATTTATTTCTTTAGTAATTGTCTTGAGGGTATTGAGTACTTCATTTTGTTTGTCTGTTTTAATTGTTTCTTTGTTTTTGGGAGTGTTGTTTGATTATGGATATCATCTGAAGTAAACAGTTGTGTAAATCTGCCCTTACAGGAGTAATACATTAAAACCCATTAAGAATCCTTTTGTGTGTCATTGAGATTCCTCAATGGTATCAGCACATTGTCAAGCTGGCATGCAGACATCAAACTCCATCCATTAATATGTGGGACCATGCAATGTGTGCATGATCGCTTTAGCTTCAGTTAAATGAATGCAAGCAAATTAAGCATCTTGGGAAATGCTCCATAAAGTTTCAATGTAGCTGCTGATTGCTAAAGTTGTTGGGATCTCTGACTCTGAAATTTTAATTATTGATTTAAGACAATCCTATACAAACCTGAGCTTCAGCATGTTCCCCTTCTTTAGCAAATCGGAATTAAGGTAAAGTATGCCTTGATCTTTATTTCCAACCCTCCTTTTCCTCCTCTTTCCTGCTGCATGATGGATGCAGACAAAAGAGTGGTACTGGGCTCTGACAAACCTTCAGATAATTTGGCGACATCTCTTCGATTTTCTTCTCAGTCAAGTTCCTTTTCACCAGTTGCTTATGGAATCGACTCCTCAGGATCACCTGCTGACAACATAGACCGTACCTTCAAAGAGAAACGGGAGCTTTTTGATTCATCTTTTGGCTCTCAAAAGCAGGACTCCCCTATAAAGACATCCCCAGTGTCTGAGAGAATCAAAGCACTAGAAGCTTTAGCTGCAAAGCAGAATGATTTTGATAGAAGTGATGGGGGGGTTCCACATTTTAAAGAGCGTCACTATGAGAAGTCCCCAACTGAATCACATGGAATTTCCTCCCGCTTGTCCTTTCAGAAAAGGACAACATCAAATGAGCAGGAATCTTCAGAATTCCCCATTCAGAAAAGGAAAACATCAAATGAGCAGGAATCTTCAGAATTCCCCTTTCAGAAAAGGAAAACATCAAATGAGCAGGAATCTTCAGAATTCCCCATTCAGAAAAGGAAAATGTCAAATGAGCAGGAATCTCCAGAATCGCCCTTTCAGAAAAGGACCATGTCGATTGAGAAGGAATCTCCAGAATCGCCCTTTCAGAAAAGGACCATGTCGAATGAGAAGGAATCTCCAGAATCGCCCTTTCAGAAAAGGACCATGTCGAATGAGAAGGAATCTCCAGAATCACCCTTTGAAGTGCTTGGAGAGGAAAGGCGTGGAAGTGACTTTGAGGACACTGCTGACTGGATGAGAGCTCACTTACCTCCAGCACCAGATTTCAACATTGAAGATAATGATCTTGAAGAGGGAAATTATTCTCCCATGGCGCAAGAGAGCCCATCCAAAGTGATGAAACCAAACAATGTTGATACAGCAGAAGTTACAGAACCTTTTGCAAGAGTTCCTGATCAGTTTATGGACTGTCCCATCAAAGTGCCAGATGACATCAATCAGACAAAGGGTGATGACAACAAGCAATCAAAACAAGAGAGTGTTGAAGAAGATTCTGAATTTGACCTGAACTTTTTACCAACAGCCTATATGTGGGACAAACAAGAGAAAGCTGATTTGGGCACTCAAGGCTATCAGATATTCCCTGACAATCAAGAGCTTCTTTCCTCCGCTGCTCCTCCTGCAGATTTTGAGTCTCCATCACCCACTGTGTCCCAACAGATGGAGCCTAGTTCTACACAACATTCCAATATTTCAAAGGGAAACTTGGAGCCTGCTGAAATCCAAGAGGTAGACAGCTCTGGGGAGTCAGATGATACAGTGATTGAGGAAACTATGAGCATCCCAACAGTGGGAAACAATGACCTTTACACCAAAACCCACAAGGAAGAGGAGACTGTTCCAACCACTGAAAAACAGCCAATTCAGGTACCTATTATTAATGTAATTGAAACCGAGGAACAAGTTTTAAGTGATGATGAGGAACCATTTGAGGTGGAAGCGGAAGAGGAGGAGGAGGATGAAAAGTGTCAGATATTGCAAGGTGACGGCAAAAGGTCACCAGAGCAACGTGACTCAGAGGTCCCAGAAAAAGTATCTGTGGAAACTCTACATGACGAGCATAAACCTGACCATGGCATTTCCTCTCATACAAATCAAAACGACTCTGATGCTGAGCACTATCCTGAACACAAGGTGATTGAAGATGATTATGAAAGTGGCATTTTTCTCCAGTCCTCTCCGGACTCTGGAGGCCTGAATTCAGAGGACTCTCAAGAGCTTATGTCTCAGAATTTAGTGACCTTTGAACCTCTCAAAGAGTCATCCCTTTATAAAGACCTAGACAAGACCGCAGAAATACTTTCTGACCTTCCCCCTGACATCAGTTCCCTCTCAAATGAGCCCAGTGATGTAGAGACTTACCTGGATCATTACGCCAGTGAAGAGCTTGCTTTAAAAGACCAGCTGAATTCATCTTATTTTAAGGAAAGTAAAGGTGAGAAAACAGAGTTTTCAAAGTCAAGCTGTCTTCAAGATAATCAAAATACCAATGTTCCGGAATCATTTGAGCATATTCCTGATGATTTCAATGAGACACCCAACAAATGCAGGCTAGACTATGAATCTGTGCCTGACCCTTCATTTGATATTCCTGATGATATTGAGACTATAATCCCTCAAAATGAAATGCCAAGTGTTGATTCAGAAGATCAAAAGTCATCAGTAGAAATCAAGGCTTCAATCTTGCAGGAACAGGAGGAGTTGCCAGTCCAGTCCATTGATCAACAGCCACCAGTTCAAGAGAACCCACCTGCACCATTTCCCTCTTTTCACAATGAGCAGTCTAGCAAAATCAGTGAAAATATTTCTGGCCCTGTGGCAAATGAGGTTACTGAGGGATCAGTGATAATCAAGTCTGAACCTCGAGTTGTGCCCACCAAAGATCTTTTAGATAGACCGGATTCGCCAGAGACCCTAAGTGATACAGAGACGTTTGAAGCAGAATGTTCAGTAACAGCAGCGACTGACAGCTTCGTGGAGTTCATGAGGGAGTGTCTTAAGTCACAGCAGGACGAGGAACCTGAGGTCCTCAGTCCCGGACACAAAGCTATAGACCAGAATCCCAAATCTGATGCTCCTGCTTCCACTCAATCCTCTCCAGCTATGATCATGGACTTGGAGCAGGAGCGCCTCACAATTTCTGCTTTGAAAGAGCTTGGGAGCAGCCAAGAGGACGAAGACAAGGATGTTCCCACTATGAAGACTGTCCTAAAGCATGATAACGCTGCACTTCCTACACCTAGCCCTGAGACCTCAGTCACCTCATCTTCTCACACTCTTCAAAACAAGTATCAGCCCGATGCCTTACTTCCCAAAGAGGTAGAGGCAATCGACATTTGGGTTGCAGAGGCCTACCACCTTGCAGAGCATGTCTTGACAGCAATACTAACCCATCTTACAGGTAACATGTCTTTCTTCTGGGCAAGTAGCCTGCTAACCCTGCACGCATAGTATGCTCAGACACTAGACCTTACTTACCTCTTTTACTTTATAACTCAACTTTAATTTACTCAACTCTAACCTATAAGAATGCTTCTGAAAAATGTCAATAACTAAACACTCTCAAGCTATTACAATAGCCTTATGGAGATTCTAAATGTCTTGTTTGTTGTGAGGTAATCTTTATTAAATGTACTGTTGTATTTTTTTCTAAGACATGTCCCATGACCTTAAAAACATGATGGTACAATATTAAAAGTGATAAGTACCTGTATAAACATTCCTGCAGGATGGCTGCATGCAAAGCCCTTGAAGTCAGATGGTACAGTTCATGTCTTGTCTCAGGTTTCATCTTTTTATGTAACCTTCTTCAGGAAGTCAGGATAAATGTGTTGTTTAACAGGAGTAGCATTATCTTCCATTGGCAGTTAGTAGGCTATTGTTTTATGTGTACACTCATCTGGTGTGACACGAGAGAAAGTGATGAACTCAATTTTTTAGCTGTTATAAATAGATTCTTATGCATTCTCAAAATATGATTTTAAGTATTATATATATAGTCTTATATATTTTACCCACGCCCCTTGTCACACATTGCTCCGTAAAACTCAGTTGTTTCACACACATGCAGAGAGAACGATCCAAAGCCTGACTCATTATCTAAAGCGTATACATTTTCTGCGTGCCTTCATTTACCATGAATGACTGTTACGATGTCTACAATTATGCTCTTAGCAGACACTTCCTTAATAATGTATATTCAGGGTTTTATTAAGGCTACATGATTACTGTGATTATTCATTATCAGCACAGTTATTCATTTCAATTAAATAAATAGCCTATATTGTGTTTTTTTGTTGTTGTTGTTTTAGTTTTTTTTTGTATTCTACATTTCCAAAACAAGCTGAGAATATTTCCCTCAATTACTTCAATGTTGAGGTTTGAACTTTGGACTCCTGTGAAGGATCCCGTTGTGATCAAAGTTAATGGAGAATAAATTTGCTTCTCACAATTAGTTATTCACAGATAATTTTATAATTGTGAAGCATCAGTTTCCATATTAAAAAAGAATCGTTAAAATCAGGCATCAGGTATCATATACAACTTTTTTTTTACCAAATGTATTAATACAGGTTAAAGGTATTTTATGAATATACTATATTGTTATAAATATATTCTTTTGTTGTTAATTTATGTTAATTTATATGCATTTGATATGTTAACTATATTAGTATCTGTAGAAATTTACATTAAGTAAAAGTAACTGATGTTAATGAATTCAACCTTACTGTAAAGTGTTGCCAATTCATATAGACAGTAATTCATTTCTTGTGCCAGATGCCATATATAGCTGTAACAGAGTAAGTGGGTTATTTAATAGATCTAGAGCATATTCTTTGTCTCACTTTTCAGTCTGCTTGAGTTGTTAACTGTGGGTGAGATTTATTTATTTTTTAACAACGTTTGCAACTTGGTATTTTAGCTGTCAGTCATCTAAATACAGCTGACTGAGAGCTTTCCAGTGGTGTGAAAGTTTGTTTTAATGGGTGTGGTAGTTTCCACTTGGGTTTGTCAGAGCTGTAGATAATAGCATGTGGTTGTGTGAACTCTAGCATAGGTTTGACTAATAGCTGCACTCAATTATTTATTTATATGAATATGAAGCTACAAATAAATATTCATATTAGGCATTAGAATTTTTCCAATTGGTCTGCCTTGTAAAATGTAGTAGTTTAATTTCACTTGAGTCTTTAAAAGGATGAGAAGCAAGTGCTAACATTTTAAGCATGCTGAAACAGACCATAGTGTATAAATATGGCCAATAGCCTTTAAATAACTGACCTCATTAGGGTTTCATTGCTTGAAAATTGGCTCACGTTGTTCGTTTCTCAACATACAAATGAGCACTCACTGTGACGAGGAAAAACTGGAATTTTTAGCTGAACTTGTACTTGGGTGGGATGGGTGATTTCATGCATGACTCTTAAATGATTCACACACACGTGGACTCTTACATGGTTTCGCACCAATGCATTAGATGGTGTATGTACCTTTAAGAGCCCAGCTCTGTGAGAACTAAAAGAGGCCACTGTGGCTCAGCAGCCACTGGGACATGCTGTTGTATCTGGGTCCACTAACGCCAGCGAGGGAGGGAATGATAACGAATAACTGTTCTCAGCCTAGGCTGCCTCCCCGTGGGCACTAGCAAAGCATGCTGGGAGGAACTCAGACCCCTGCAGTGAGCAAGAAGGAAACCCCTCACATGCACTGAGCGTTTTAGCCTCCGAGCTGTGAGAGTGGACAAAAACAATGGTGCTCTCTCAGGCTCTGAATCATTTGCCACACACCATTGTGCTGTAGTTATGTCACGTTGACTTGTTGTAAACAATCTTTTTTTCCTCTGGTTGCTCAAGAACAGTTATTCTTGTTTTTCACTTTTTAACCACTTCCTCTCTTAAAATATAGCATTCAGCTGACCGGAGCTCATATAGAGTTCCAAAAAAAAAAAAAAAAAAAATTCTATATTTTTTCACAATTTTTTTTATTTATTTATTTATTTTTTTTAAATATGCCTGTATGTTTGTGACTTTGGTGTCCCATGACATTTTTTGAAGCATGTCTTGGGACATGACATGCAGGCATTTTTTCTGTTGTGAGAACCAGTAGGTACACTACTGTTCAAATGAGTTGGGGGCCAATAAGATTTTTATTTAAAGGAAATTAATACTTTCCGTTTTCGTTAAGTTAAATTGACCAAAGTGGCAGTAATGACAATGTTACAAATTATTTCTATTTCAAATAAAAGCTGTTCTTTTGAACTTTCTATTTATAAAAAAACAAATCAGTTTCCACTGAAATATTAAGCAGAACATTTTCAACATATGTTTTTTATAAGATGAAATGTTTGGGGATGATTTCTAGGGATGTAACGATTAACCGCGAGCCAGTTGAAAATCGATTGAAATATGTGACGATTCAAATCGGTTGAGATGCTAAACAAATCGCAATTCATTTAGGGGTAGGAGTTTATATGAATGCATGTCTGAGGGGAACTTACTGTCTTTAGAAAAGTTTAGATGGTATTTTTTCTATTCATCTTGCCTCTGTATAATGCATATTAAAGCAGCGCTGCACTGCTTTGTTTACAGCGGAAACCAAGGAAACGCTTTAAGCGCCACCTGCTGGCAGAGAGTGAATCTGCATCTCGTTCAGCTCATCTGCTGTTTCTGTTTCATGCAGATATTTTTTATGTATAGTTTCACAAAACTGAAGTCAAACCATTCTGTTTTTGCTTCAAATTTCGAAATTATACAATGTAATTTAGATTAAAAACTGCTCATGTTACATGTATGCAGCATCTTTGTTTGGATCAAGATTAAAATGCAGTGGTTGCCTCTAATTTTAAATGGAAAGAGCACAGACAAAGCCTTAGTTTGTTTATATGAAGAGATTTATTTTATTTGTTACTTTATTTGATTTGGGGCTTGTTTTAAAATTTCAATTTAGTTTTGTTATTTACATTTACATTATATTTCAATTTAGTCATTTAGCAGACACTTTTATCCAAAGCGACTTACAAATGAGGACAATAGAAGCAATCAAAACCAACAAAAGAGCAATAATATGCAAGTGCTATATTAGTATATTATTATAGTGTTATATTTCAATTTCACAAAGAAATGTGCAGCATTTTGTCCAAGCAATAGTAAAAGGACACATTTAATTTAATTTGTCTTAAATCTCATTTTATTAAAAAAAAAAAAAAAAAAAATGTGAATCGAATCGTGAGTTGAGTGAATTGTGAAATCTCTAATGATTTCTAAAGGATCATGTGACACTGAAGATTAGAGTAATAGCTGCTGAAAGCTCATCACAGTAATAAATAATTTCTTTTTAAATATATTAAAATAGAAAACAGTTCTTTTAAATTGAAATAATATTACTGTTCTTACTGTATTTTTCTTCAAATGAATGCAGCCTTGGTGAGTCTTCTTTAAAAAAAAACAACATTATTTTTGAAAGAAATATAAAAAATTATACAACCCCAAATTTTTTAACCCTAATTATATTTATTTATTTACTTACTTATTTACTTATTTTGGCCTCTCCCACCTTAGTGACCTTGACCTTGGTTGTATTCACCAATTAAAATCATGCAAAAATGTAATTTTATTTGCCCTGTTGAACAGATATTAAATCAGTATATATATTTAATAAAAATGGAATATTTAGTGATCAGTGCATTTCAGAGTTTAAAAGTTCTCTGAAAACTTGAGGGGAAAAGCTGTACCTGACCATGTATTGCTTGAATTGAATGCATGAATGCATTTACAGTCTCCTGGAGTGTGAACGCCATATCTGTTCTTGAGGTGATATATTAAAGCTGACAGACCAAACATAGTAACAGTGGAAGACGTGGTTGTGTTTTCAACCAGCCAGCGCTTGCACGTGTATAGTCTTGTGTTACAGGACCCGTCCCCACACATGCCCAAGTTGGAATTCCTCCTCTAATAAGACTTTGCCAGGAAAATATATATGGGTGTATTATTCTGTTCTTGTAGGGTCCAAAATTGTGCATCCTCCTTATGAAATTAGATGTTTTGAATACCACCGTCTTCCCCCATAGACCATATGTCCGTGATTTCCTGAGAAATGGAAACGCACAGAGCCGAACCCCCTCAAGGCATCGCTCCACGTGAAGAATGCCTTTTATGTAAGGCTTCTTTAAAAGGTTCCTTTCACACCACATCACCAGCCACTCGAAAACTGCATTACGTAACCGCAGCCGTATGGAAAATATGAGCTCTATATTATTTATGAGAGACCTAATGATTTTGCAGTTCAGGTACAAAAAGAGAACCCATTAAAATAATGTGTTGCTGCCTTTTACAGCTGCAGGCTCGGGATTTAAAGTGTTTTGCACCAGTTCAACAATTCACTCTTTTTTTTGTCACTGTTTCTATACGTTCATCAAACCACGCCACGCACACGGTTTTCACATGCTCTCTCTGTCGTGCAGTGAATGACCTGGTGCACTGGCGGGACCCTAAGAAGTCAGGTGTGGTGTTTGGCGTGTCGCTGCTGTTGCTGCTTTCTCTGGCAGCGTTTAGCGTGATCAGCGTGGTCTCCTACCTGCTACTGGCCCTGCTCTGTGTCACCATCTCTTTCCGCATCTACAAATCTGTCATCCAGGCTGTGCAGAAGTCCAACGATGGACACCCCTTCAAGTAAGAGCCTTGTCTTTTTGGCCTGCCTGTCTGTCTATGTGTCCTGTCAGTAAACTCACTGTAAAGTAGATATTTGAGAAAATCGGGCCAGATTTACTAAACCAGGCAAATTGGCGTTAGAGCGCAATTCCATAAAAACGCCGATGGGAGGGGAAAATTCTGCGTGTGATTTACTGACAATGCACACATTAAAGAACACGGACACAACCAGATAATTTCCATAATGACCAGCGCAATCTACGAAGAGCAGCGCAAATTACCGCCTGGTTTAAGATATGCTTTTTTGGGCATTAAATAATGGCGCAAATACCAGTAGTTTGACGAGCGCAAACGTTAGTAAATTGCGTCGTGTGATTCATTTTAATAATCTCCTCCCATTAATTTTGCGTCTGAAAGGGAAACGCCTACAAATGCATATTCAGTAAGGTCAGACGCAAAAATAACTGTCCATGCCTTTTGAGTGCTAACTCGTCACTGCACGTCTTTAGTAAATCCTGACAGTAATATTTTAACGCCAAAAGACGGTTTGCGTCGGTGCAAGCCGTTAGTAAATCTGGCCCAAAATATACTAAACACCATCATGGTGACACACATGATACTGAAATATTGCAATGAACATTAATTTAACAACATCAGATGCAAGATGAAACCCTAATGTACACAACTGATAAGAAAAAACTAAGAAACAATTATTTCAACAACAACAACAAAAAAAGCTGTCATGCAGGGAATTCTGGGAGTGTCAATTTATGTTTATTCACTGTAAGTTATATCATGTCTTTCTGTATCACTTCCAAAAACTGTCATTTTAACAGTGTTTTACTGTAAAATTACATTAAATATAATTACAGTTATTCACTATATATCAGGTGTTAATTTCGTTGACGAATAATTTTCATAATTTTCGTCAACAACATTTTATTCACTGACGACAATGAGACGATAACGAACTAAAACTATTTTTGAATGACAAAAGCTATGATGTAAATCGATTGACATTTTCGTCAACTAATAAAAACGAGACGAAAATGTTAGGGAGGGACGATTTGGGAAGATATTCATTCAGAACGATTCTGCTGCATAGTTAGGAGGTTAGATGTGTACATATGAACCTGCGGGACATAAGCTAACATACACTCTTGCTGCATGTCGCATAAAAATTTTAAAAAGGCCAATATGTGGAAGTAAGAGAAGAGCAGACGTGGATAAATCTGACGACGCAAGAGAGAACACAATTCGGTCCGGTTTTCAGAGCGCAGACACTGAAGCATACACACACACAGAAAGCGGGTCTCACAGCACACAAGTACTCTCTCGCGTCGCATGAACAGAGAATTACACAAAATGATGTAGAATTGTCCGTTTTGACGAGTATTCACGTGAACGTAAACAGTAGGGAGAACGTGTATCAGTACACTGCATCCATCGCAGCTGTGCATTCTGTTTTAAAGGGACAGCAGCCTAATTTTGTTGCTATTGTCCGAGTCATTGATGTTAATCAAGCAACAAAAGAAAGACAGAAAATCACTCAGTGCTCTTGACTGAAAAACTTTAGTAGCCCTAAAGATTCTGAAAGGGAAACGCCTACAAATGCATATTCAGTAAGGTCGGTAAGGTCAATAACTGTCCACTCCTTTTGAGTGCTAACTCGTCACTGCGCGTCTTCAGTAAATCTTGAAAATCTTGACAGTAGTAAATCTGGCCCAAAATATACTAAACACCATCATGGTGACACACATGATACTGAAATATTGCAATGAACATTAATTTAACAACATCAGATGCAAGATGAAACCCTAATGTACACAACTGATAAGAAAAAACTAAGAAACAATTATTTCAACAACAACAACAAAAAAAGCTGTCATGCAGGGAATTCTGGGAGTGTCAATTTATGTTTATTCACTGTAAGTTATATCATGTCTTTCTGTATCACTTCCAAAAACTGTCATTTTAACAGTGTTTTACTGTAAAATTACATTAAATATAATTACAGTTATTCACTATATATCAGGTGTTAATTTCGTTGACGAATAATTTTCATAATTTTCGTCAACAACATTTTATTCACTGACGACAATGAGACGATAACGAACTAAAACTATTTTTGAATGACAAAAGCTATGATGTAAATCGATTGACATTTTCGTCAACTAATAAAAACGAGACGAAAATGTTAGGGAGGGACGATTTGGGAAGATATTCATTCAGAACGATTCTGCTGCATAGTTAGGAGGTTAGATGTGTACATATGAACCTGCGGGACATAAGCTAACATACACTCTTGCTGCATGTCGCATAAAAATTTTAAAAAGGCCAATATGTGGAAGTAAGAGAAGAGCAGACGTGGATAAATCTGACGACGCAAGAGAGAACACAATTCGGTCCGGTTTTCAGAGCGCAGACACTGAAGCATACACACACACAGAAAGCGGGTCTCACAGCACACAAGTACTCTCTCGCGTCGCATGAACAGAGAATTACACAAAATGATGTAGAATTGTCCGTTTTGACGAGTATTCACGTGAACGTAAACAGTAGGGAGAACGTGTATCAGTACACTGCATCCATCGCAGCTGTGCATTCTGTTTTAAAGGGACAGCAGCCTAATTTTGTTGCTATTGTCCGAGTCATTGATGTTAATCAAGCAACAAAAGAAAGACAGAAAATCACTCAGTGCTCTTGACTGAAAAACTTTAGTAGCCCTAAAGATTAATCTAAATTTATTTATAGAAATAAATATGTCTGAAGACCATGTTCTTGTTCTTTGAGAAGTGGTTTTATTTAATTTTAACATAAAGGCATGTTGTGTGTCACCGCAGTTAAATCAGTGTCTATCATGATAAAACCTTAATATCAAACCTATATAATGAGTTTGGAAATTTTAGAGAAATGCTTAATAAATGCACTGTAACTTAAACCCATTAGATTTTAGCCGACTAAATTTACTGTAGATTTAGTCGACTAAAATCTTACGGTATTTAGTCGACTAAAACTAGACTAAAATCAAAAACAATTCAGATGACTAAAATATGACTAAAACTAAATGGCATTTTAGTCAAAAGACTATGACTAAAACTAAATCAAAATTTGCTGTCAAAATAAACACTGCCATATATAGTATGAAAACTTACTGTTAACCAATTAACAGGTTTTTACTGTAGCATTTAGTAAATCGCGTTGCGTGATTCATTTTTTTTATAATCTCCTCCCATTAATTTTGCGTCTGAAAGGGAAACTCCTACAAATGCATATTCGGTAAGGTCAGACGCAAAAATAACTGTCCACTCCTTTTGAGTGCTAACTCGTCACTGCGCGTCTTCAGTAAATCTTGACAGTAACGCTGTTAGTAAATCTGGCCCAAAATATACTAAACACCATCATGGTGACACACATGATACTGAAATATTGCAATGAACATTAATTTAACAACATCAGATGCAAGATGAAACCCTAATGTACACAACTGATAAGAAAAAACTAAGAAACAATTATTTCTACAAAAACAAAACATAAAAAATGAGGTGTCATGCAGGGAAATCTGGGAGTGTCAATTTGTTTTTTCACTGTAAATTATACGACTTGCTTCCAAAAACTGTAATTTTAACAGTATTTTACTGTAAAGTTACATTAAATGTAATTACAGTTATTCACCGTATATAGTATGAAAACTTGCTCTTAACCAATTAACAGGTTTTACTGTAGCATTTTTAGTCTTTTACTGTTAAAATCACAATCACAATTTTTACAGTTTAAATAATTATAGCTTTAAAAACTAGCTAGACAAAAGTCGTGTGCAATTTAACTGTTTAAAAAATTTCAATTGAAATCAACTTTTTACTTCAGTTTCAGGTATTAATATAATTATTTATTATAATTAAAATCTAATATATATAAATTAGTGCTGTCAAACGATTAATCGCATCCAAAATGACAAAGGTTTTTGTTCACATATGTGTGTACTTTATATATTTATTATGTATATATAAATACATACACATGCATGCATTTATTTAAGAAAAATATGCTATGTTTATAAAATATATTTATATATAATATAAATTATATGAATATAAATATATACATGTAAATACATGTAAATATTTTTAAAATATGTACTGTATGTGTGTGTATTTATATATACATAATAAATATACACAGTACACGCATATTATGTAAACAAACTTTTATTTTGGATGTGATTAATTGTGATTAATCGTTTGACTGCACTAATATATATATATATATATATATATATATAATATGCACTTCACGCTTCACCTTTAACATTATAGGTCCATTTGGCACTTTTAATGTTAGGGTCTGTGTTAGTAAGTGTTGGTGCAGTGGTGCTCAGAGGTGTGTGGGTATTCAGTGGCAGGGCTAAATAATATGCTGATTTGCTGCTCAAGAAACATTTTTTTATCAATGCTTGATGTTCTTTACATAAACTGTGGTACATTTTTGTCAGGATTCTTTGATGAATAGATAAATAATAAATAAAATAGAACATAGAAATCTTTTGTAACATTATACATGTCTTTACTGCCACTTTTGATCAATTTAATGTGTCCTTGCTGAAGGAATTATTAAAATCTTACTGACCCCAAACCTTTTAACAGTAATCTAATGATTATAATAAAATATTTTCCGTAGTAACTAATTTAGCTCTGCCTAAGCAGGGTGAGGGATAGAAAAGCATATGTTGTATTCACGTGCCTCCATGTATTAGCAATCAACTCTATCATGTTAACTAGTATTACAGGTTGCTCTTGTTACTCATGATCTTTAATGACACAGGGGAAACTTGTACATAGAAAATAGTTTTGCTACATTCATAACAAGTACAAGATTTTAAAACACTTATAAAGAGTTGCTTTTTTTAAAAAAAGCGTCTTATGATGGATGACACATGCTCAAATGCAATTAGTGTTTGAGAGCAGGCGGCCCACTCAGAGTGAATAGTAATCATTATGTATGATTATTACACCAGAGGGGTCTTATGTAAGCCCTTACTGAAGACTTGTCATAATCTTTACTTAAAGCATTTGTCAAGTCCTAAATTCTTATGTAACTGTGATTGTTCATGAGTGCCTGATGCAGTTTTCACAAATTAAATACAGCACTAATGTACGGCTATAATGATGCATTCATAATGGTGCCACAAAACTCTGAACTGTCTCTTTAATTTCCATGGCGCAGAACACTATGCACTGACCTCAAAACTGCAGTAACCCAGTTTTTAATATCTTTACAGTGAGAAAATTAAAGCCACAACTCTCTAGCTTTACTATGATAGTTTTTATCAATATTTTGAATTAGTTTCTATTTTGATATTTTATCAATTTTCTTGCTCATTTTAGTTAGTTTTAGTAAGTTCTTTTGTCATTTAAAAAAAAAAAAAATGTCCATAGTTTTTATTTTTCTAATTTTTAGTTATTTTAGTACATCACGTTAAAGTAAATGGAAAAAGAGATGTTTTCTCAGCAACTACCTGAAATAAAATAGGTAACAGACAATACGTTGATCTGACACATAATTTATGATGATTCAGGCTGTTTTCCACCAATATATATTTATATCCACAAAAGTGGCCTCAATAAATATTCTGTATAGTTAGAGAGTCCCTGCAGGTTCTTAAAGTCCAATTTAATATATTAAATTAAATATTAAATATATTTTTAATGGTATAAGAAAAGTTTCATTACAATTTCATGCGGTCTTAAATTTGTAGACAGAAAAACAGAAATCGCAATACAACCTAATGTGATTATTAAACTTGTTAAAGGCTGTGATTTAATACAATAAATATTCACATTTCAAAGCACAGTGATATTACAATCACTGTTTCTTATGATGCAAGCTCTCTTTGCTCTTTCCATAGACCCAGATTGACCGTTACATTGACATTGCACGCACTCAAGTCAACACTACAATTGCCAAGTGAGTATACTTTGAGTAGAGTAATACAGTAAAAATGTATACCATCTGTGCCTGCTATTTATCTATAAAGAACTGAGTGTTGGAAATGGCAGCCAATTAGTGAGACCTTGATGCCACATAGTAACATTGCCACCTAATGGGCATTTGTCTCATTTTTTTTTCTCCTTCAGGCTACAAGAGAAACTCCCAGGAGCCATGAAGCGCTGTAAAGCAGAATGATCCTCCTCTCCGATCCCTCGTTACCATGTTTACCATCCTTCTATCTTTAGCCGCCTCCCCTTACACTAAGCCCCGCCCCTTTCCCTCTTTTCCCGTTTAACCCACACCTTAAAACAACCATGATCTGCACTGAACCAGCTAGTATGTAAAATCTAAAAAGCTTCTTGTTATTCAATGTTAACTCTGCAGCTTATTAATGAGCATTCGGAAAAGAAGCTCGGTGCTCCAGGAGCTGGTGTTTTTCAACACAGGAAGTGATTTAATGCTACTGGATGCCCATTTTGAAGGCCAGTGCACGGAAGGATTTGTGAACTAGACTGAACCTATGACCTGGTTTTGAGTGTTGGGTTGGGTGGTGCTGTAGTAATGAATAAAGACAGGTGTTTGACTCAAAAGCAAATGTCTATACTTTAAAAAAATGAAAATTTCACTGAAAACCGCTGGCAAAAAAAAAAAAAAAGAGAGAACTTTATGTAACATACTTTCCCCCCTCTTTGTGCTTCGAAAAATGTGTACGTATTCGTCTGAAATGCACTGAACATTTCTAGACAAAAAAAAAAAAAAGAGAGAACTTTATGTAACATACTTTCCCCCCTCTTTGTGCTTCGAAAAATGTGTACGTATTCGTCTGAAATGCACTGAACATTTCTAGACTTGCACGTTTTGATCAGTCAGGATGGATCGGGACGCTACCAGCAGTGATAATTCGGTCTAGTTCACTCTCCTTCCTGTTATTGGCGCAATTTTTAATTTTGTGTATGTATATATAGTTCGATTACAACAGGCTCTTTGCTGTGAAGTAGTTAGTGTTGCTTTTTATATTTAAAAAAAAAACAAATATACAGCTCTTATATTTGTCTCTTTCGCACCTCTCTCGCACTCAGTCATCTGAGTTGAGATCACATGTAAATGTTATTGTTATTACTCTTCAAATAATAGTTATTATATTATATCTCGATTAGGATGGCTGCTTTAAGTCCCCTGTCTGACATTGGCTTCGTAACAATAAATATGAATAACCTTAAGATTGAGTTTTATGTATAGGATCGTCAGAGCACCAGAATATAGGAGAGGAAGGCAATAACTTTGTGCTTGATGTGATGTTGGCCCCACAAGTCATCGATTTTTGTTGAAACGGGGCCAGTGCCCATAATTCATGTCATTTAGAAAAGTAAGACTTTTTTTTTTTTGTCAGCATTTTGGGGCATCGTTTACCACCTTGGGCACTGAAGAGGTATAAATGTTTAAAAAGGCTACAAAGAACGATTATTTAAGCTGGATAATTACACTTACTAATCACATGTGGTAACACTGTTTTTCCTTGAAAGTCGAAACCCCATTGTAAACACTGTTGGCTTTTAGGATGCAACTACAAGGGTGAGTTTATTTCTGAAAGGGAAGGGTATAGCATAGTAAAAATAGCTTCAGGTTGGGCCGCTGTGTTTTAAAAGCAGCGTCAGTCCGTGCAAAAACTACTCGAATGCATTTATGCACACAGTTACGACGTGATAAATGGATTATCTACCATATATCAAGTTACAGTCATATTGTTGCTTTTGTTACTGCATAGTCTGTCAGCTCCTGATGGTTTTATTGCATTGTTCGCTTCACATTCCAGCTGATGCAGTTGGAAGCATGTCCAAATTGGAAAATTGAAGGTTTAACACTAACACGTTCCATCACATTTTAAAAGTTTGTTCTGTGATTATTGCCCCTTTCTAATATACTTTGATTTGCTGTACATGATTTTTTCTCTCTCTCTCTCCCTTTTTGTGTCGTATGCATGTTCTCAGATTCAGACGGAAGTGTCTTGTAATTGTGTTGCTTAACTAGCATGTTCTACAGTCGAGATCACATGTGCGGTGTTGCTTTCGAAGAACAGGTCAAGCTCTGACAGTTTGCATTAACACATTGTTTTCTTTGCGTTTAAGGGTAAATTATGAATATATAACTACTTTTTTAATAGATGCAAACCTCTCTGTTTAGGTTCTTCGTCTTATTATCCGTTTTCTTCTCTTCTGAGGTTCAGTTTAATATTTGGGTTTTGTTTTTTTACTTATTCCTGTAGTACCTTGGCATGTTTGCTGTTTCTTCTTTCCTGTGTTTCTCTCTGAGAAGGGTTGACGGAGATCACATTCTTTTTGCTTTGGACTCTTGAAGACTAGATGTGATGGCTAACATCTACATTCAGTTTGTTAGTTTTGAATGAAATTAATATGTAGGAGCTTTTGGATGCAAACAGGAAAACTTGTGGTCCCTGTAATGATGTCAAAGTGAACTTAATAAAAATGCCAAAAGCATTTGTAGTGCTTGGTTTTTTGTTTTTTAAATGAATAGCATAAAAGGGTACATTAACTAGATCAAAAGTGACTAAAAATACACAAAAATATTAAGCAGCTGTTTTTAACACTGACAATAATTTGATTACCAAATCAGAAGAATGATATTAGAATGATTTCTGAAGGATCATGTGACACTGAAGACTGAAGTGATGATGCTGAAAATTCAGCTTTACCATATCAGGAATAAAACAACTTTTAAATATATTAAAATAGAAAATTATTATAATAATATTTCACAATATTACTGTTTTTACTGTATTTTTCATCAAATAAATGCAGCCCAGGTGAACATAATAGACTTGTTTCAAAAACATTCAAATCTTATAGATCACAAAGTTTAATTTGTACTGCTACAGTTGCATACATCTGAATCTATAATTTGTACCAGAAATGTTGAATAAATTAATTATTTAAAGAGCTAGGCTTTTCATACCGACATTAATTGACATTTTATTGGTTATTGGTTATATACGAGACACTCAAAAGGAATGATATTTAAATCCAAACTCAAGAAGGGAGTATATACAGGTGCATCTCAATAAATTAGAATGTCGTGGAAAAGTTCATTTATTTCAGTAATTCAACTCAAATTGTGAAACTCGTGTATTAAATAAATATGAATGTAGTGTCTTATACAGTATGTGTACATAACTTGAAATTTAAATGTTGATACGTTACTCCTAAACGTTGTAACCCTGAGAGTTTGAACCCCAAATCTTGTCACCACAAAGAAGATTGCGTGCCATTTTCCAGGAATCTCCATAAAAAGATCTGTGGGACGTTCCAAACTTTGAAAGTGCCTCCAAGTTGCATTTGGTCAAGAAAAATGGCATTAAAAGAAGAGGTGAAACAATTGTGCATCCCCATGTGACACCAGTGCTGACGCATTAGTTTTTTAGTTCACTCTGTACAGGATTAAAGAGAGAACTGACAACGTTATGACTGTTTGTCATAGACCAGTGCAAAATTCCTTTTTGTGACGAAAAATAAATTGGCAAAAAGGATATTTGTTAATAACCTATTCCAAGCTGTACAGCATATCTTAAATAAATGCAACAAGGAAGTGTTAATGATTAGAGAACATGCATGCGTTATCTGCCCATTTAATTGCACCTTTTTGATTAAATTCAATATTCAAACGGAACAAGATTCATAAATGCAAAAACTTAATGATGAATAAAACACTTCCTGAGACATGGATCTCACTCAAAAGAAACCGGCCTTTGCCTAAACAGAAAGTCCATAAGATTTTTATTTCAATATAACTTTTTGGTGAGCTGAACCAGTATTATATAACATTAACATTATAAACCATATATTATATTTATGTTTTTTCTTTCAAAACGCAAAATGTGATTGACAAAATGGCATGTGAAATCAGATATTTTTAGCTTAGTAACAGTCCCAAAAACTTGTACTGAGCACCCATTTTAAGTGCTATAATTAAAATAATATTGTTCACTGTAATGTGTGATGTCATGCAAAATGTCAAGCATGGGAATCAATAACAGTCTTGCAGTCTACAAAAAGAGCAATGAATGTAGAAATGCATTAAAGAGTGCTTATCCACAGAAGAGAACATGTAAGTTCAGCAAAATCGCTTGCTGGGAAAAATTAACTGTTTAAATGACATTGGTGGCTTCATGTTTCACTTTCAAAAGTGATTCAAGCATAAATATTCTTTTTAAGCTTATCAAACATTCCAGATGCTTTACTGAGACAAAAAGTACATTAATTCTCCAACAATGTCACATCCTTCAAAAAAAAAAAAAAGTTTAACCGCACAGCAAACTTCCTGAGTGACGGAAAACAAAAACAGGATGTCGAAAACTCATCCCTAACCCTTTTGTTTCAATTAAGTGCTCTGGCTCGTAGTGCATTCGGTATTCACATAAGCATTGCCGTTAGCATTCTCTTTATGGCCGTGGTTCGAACCCGAAAAACAGTCGTCCGAATGAAAGTGCGCTGAGATCTGGTTGTAGCAAAGCAGGACCAGCTGCCTCTCCTCTGGGTTGTAGTCCAGCGAGTGAGGGTGCACTTGTAGGATGTGTCTCTTGATGGTGCTGACCTTTAGCGTTGCGAGCGTAGCGCCACACACCATGCAGATCAATCCGTGCTTCCTGCAGTCGTAGTCCATCAGGAAGTCCATCTTCCAGTGGGCCTGGTAATTGCGCCGCTGGTCCTTCCCCGGGTAGTGCCTGTGCCGCCCAGGCATCTGTGTTGATGGTTTGATATTTGTGCTATTATTGTCTTCTGTTTCACCTCCTTGCTCTGTGGATTTCACAGGAGACACCTGCGTGCCACCAGCAGCGTTTGTGGCGACAGGACCACTTTGTGGGTCTTCAGTGGCAAACAAAAGAAAAGAGAGAGACACATTATTGTTTTTAAACGATATATTTGATTTATAAGAGGATTTTTCTTTAACAATCCAACAGGAATACTTTCATTCAGAAATTGTAACATTTTGACATCAGAACCATAAGCAAATTTACATAGGCCTAACAATTTGGCCTACCTTGTGGCTAATGCTAAGCGGAGTTGGCTCAGAGGTACAACATGAATATCTTTACATCCTTAAAACAAGATACATTTTCCTGAGAAGCTAAATAATCTTTAGTTTTCAAGCTGTTCGCTTGCTAGCTACGTGAAAGCTAACTGCAAGCACCAGGAAAGAGAAGTGTAACTATTTTTAGCTTTTGAAATATAATTTTATGTAATTTAAAAACATTAACAAGCTTATTTTCATGATTAAGTACAACTCGAATGTATAGCCTGCTTTGCAAAATTTATTTACCTGAGAAGCTAAATAGCTGTTAGCTTGCCAAGCAAAGGCTAACTGAAAACACTAGGAAAAAGAAATATTTGACCATTTTAGCTTCCAAAATATTATGCTATATGTAATATGTAATTTAAAGGACATTAATTAACATATTTTCATGATTAAGTATATCTTCAATATCTTTACATCCTTAAAACAAGATAGATTTACCTGAGAACCTAATTAATCTTTCGTTTTCAAGCTTTTAGCTTGCTAAGCAGAGGCTAACTGAAAACACTAGTAAAGAGAAAATGTTTAATTTGACTGTTTTTAGCTTCTGAAATATAATGTGATATGTAA